GTTCGTGTTGATTGTAGTGTCGGGCGCATTAAAGACGAGTCGGCCTATGGTTTAGCTGAAATATAACTCCTAAGATACTACCTTATAGCCCATTTAAACTTGCTTTTGACCGGTGGTGACGTAAAGGCCAAAGGTAACTGACTGCACGGAAAGTAAATCCTACTCGGTCAAAATAAAAACGAGGCATATCTTAAGGAAAATGGTATCAAGTCTAGAAAGTTATGTCTGGCGATGGCAATCTCAGTTCTGAACTTAATGACACCGAGGCTACCTAAACACCAATTCACCAGTCTAGGCATACACACCATCTGAAAATTTCCCGCTGGCCGTACATACCATCGTCTCACAAAAACATTGGTTACAACCAATCAGCAGGGGATGAAAAGTACTAAAAAGCTGGAAGACTAGTCAATCCGAAAAAAACACATATACGCCTGGTCTTCCCCAGATATAGTGGAAAAAATCGACTTAGGAGGCTGAGCAATGCCTTGGAAGATATTTTTGCAATACAGGTGACTGAGAGGTTGGAGACGTTGCTCAGTCTTTTACTGTCTTCTTAACTCATTGTCCAGGCGTTTCTACCTTCACACACCTGAATGGCAATGTTGTTAAGGCAGTATTGACCGCGCTGTTCTTGAGAAAGTACTTGGTGGCGTTAAAGCCCACTGGATAAGATGCAGCGATTAAACGATTTTACCAGAAAACTGTGTCTTAAGCGTAACGGCATGACGTGGGATTTTGATAAAAGTACTTCGCACGTTCTCATGGTCACAGACCTGCAGACAAGAACCGTCGGGCTATTTTACCTGGACTGACGTTTGGATTAAGTCTGAGGCGCCTGCTTACGCAAGCAAATTGCCTCAATTGTGCTTACTCGTTGGCATAGGGCGATTATTTGGCTTTAGACATGCCAGTCATTGTAAGAAGAATCTTACCAATTTCGACATATGACAAATTCCCGTGGCCCTAACCTTCAGAGTGACGCTGGATAAAAAACAACCTCTTTCACGTCTTTTGTTATGATGCGATTTTTTTTTGCGCTCTGGAAAAGAATTTTAGAGAAATCGAATTTCTAAGTGTCAACTGGCTTAACTTCAAAATAGGAGAGCACACCCCCTTTCTACTCCCAGAAACAGTT